GTTCCAGGGAGAACTCAGGACCTTGCACCTGCGAGGCAGGCAGCAGAACCACTGAGCCAAATCTCTGGCTCTACAAATTAATTTTTTAAAAGATGGCTAATTGAGCTCACAATTCAGTCATACAAGTGATTTGCCTCAACTATTATATTTCACTATACAGTAGAAATGCTTTGTGTGTGGTTCTCATTTAATCACACAATTTTAAATTGAAATATATTCAATATTTAATAAAATTAACACTTTTTACTGTTCTACTAAGATTAAGTGCAATGGTATTTGTTTACTTACGCATGATGCATGCAGGTGCACAGTACTGGGGATTGAACCCAAGCCTTCACACAAGCTAGGAAATTGCTCTACCACTGAGCTATATCCTCAGCCTTTGGTGGGGGGCACCAGAGATTGAACTCAGGATCTTGTGCTTGCAAGGCAGACTGGCGGCACACTGAGCTAAATCCCCAGCCCTCTTCAGTCCTTTTTAAAAATTTTTGAGACAAGATTGTGTTAAATTTCCCAGGCTGATCTCCCACTTACTTCAGTCTTCTGAGTAGCTGAGATTATAGGCATGTGCCACCACACCAGTTTATCTTTTTTAACTTTATTGCATGTTGATAAAGAATATAATGACTAGTAGAACAGTTTGGTGCAATTCCCTTGATTTGTGCTCCACCGATGTCAATACAGTGAAAAAGACAGACATCATAGTAGTATCATAGATAGAATTTGGACCTTGCAGAACTTTGAAAGGATCTTGAAAACTAACCAGGGTCTGTAGACCACCCTTTGGGAACTGTCGCCCCAACTTAAAGGGTGGTTATAATAATTAAATGTAATACTGTGTATAAAGTGCTCACCAGTATTTGGACCATAATAACAGATGTATAATAATTAGCTACTTGTAATTATTATGGTTATGTAACAATGCTATAAAGAAGAATAAAAGCATTGGATGAAAATTAGACTAGATGATGCCCTTCCAAACCAAAGATTGTATTATGACCAAATAACCATTAAAAAGTGATCAGAGGTAGATTTAAAGTATTAATCATAATCTAATACCACTATTTTCTTCTGTTCAGCTCTACAGCAGTAAATATTTCTCTTACCATTTTACTATTTAAAGATTATACTAATAATTATTTTAAATTATTAGAAAATGAGAATATTCTCCAATCATAACATCTAAACTGTCCAATTATTTTAACTCTTTTCAATATGTGCATCTGTATCTATAAGTAAGTATCTATAAGTATCTGTAAGTTTTTAGAATCATAACAATGTAAAGTATTAAAAATGTATTTAAGAGCCAGGGATGTAGCTCAGTGGTGCAGCACCTGCCTGGCAAGTGTCCTAAGTTCAGTTCCTGCACATCCCAAAAATATTCAAAGACAATGTAATATCTTTAAATTACAAAAATCAACAAGTTGAAAGTGGTGTATTCAGGCTGGGCGTGGTGGCGCATGCCTGTAATCCCAGCACTCCCTCCCAGCTGAGGCAGGAGGATTGCTGTGAGTTTGAGACCAGCCTGGGCTACATAGTGAGTTCCTGGTCAGTCTCAACTACATAGTGAGACCCTGTCTCAAAAAAACCAAAAAAAGAAAGTGGTGTATTTAGTGATTCTGACTTCAGTTAATTGGAATGTATAAGACCAAACCTGAAAAGCAGACCTTCATAGTTCTCTTTAGAAGTGTTGTAACCTGGGCTACCATGCCTCTTCATGATAATCCACCCTACACTGTAGGGTAGATATTGCTATATATTTTTTTTTCTTCCTTTTTAACTCAGCCCAAGCTCACTCTTCAGAGCTTGTTCTTCCTCTACCCTTCTGGTTTTTTTCTTACCTTTGACAAATGTGAAACTTTGTAACTATTAAAAAAAGAGAAAAAAGTAGTGTGACCCCATGAGAGTTCAGTAACTCTCCTAAGACTACTGCTATGCAGGTTATAAACTTTAAAGTTCTTATTATGGTTTTAATGACTGAGGTATCTAAATCTACAGGGGCAATAAGTCACTTAAGAGCTGAGGCACCTTGATTTACAGCTCTCTCCTTGAAACATCCCAATCCGTGCAATCCTACCACAATCACCCCAAGGAGAACAATGTGGCTCAGTGACTAAACAGAATACTCGATAGTACGACGGCAGCACACCAGACCTACACTTTGGATTTCTCTTTCAGCAATATGACTCTTTAAAACTTGGTCACCTAACTCATACTGACATGACTCAGGACACTAATATAAGGCCAAAATTAGACTTTCATGTTAAATGTAAAATTTAGCTGTAGCAAGTCATCCAAATTACAGTGGATGTATGGTAAGAAGAAACACAAATGTTTATGGCATTTTAATATGTGCTAAAACTCACTGAATTTTTATAATACAAACACATTATGATATTATGTTAAGTTTTACACACATATCCTTTTGTAAATCTAGCAACCGCCCTGTTTCCTGAGGTAGTAATCTCATTCTCATACCCAAGAAGGCTGAAGCACAGAGAGGTTTTAAGTGAATTATCTAAGGTCTTAAGGCATGATTTCAGCATAGCTCAAACTAATTTATACAAGCTCTTGTTCTTGATTATTGTTATGACTTCCCCATACTGGTAGCAATTCTTTTTTTTTTTTTTTTTTTTTTTTTCTTTTTGGTACTGGGGATCAAACTCAGGACCGGCAGGTGGCGGCAACACTGAGCTAAATCTCTGGCTTATTTTAATTTTTTAAAAAAGCAATATAATCAATAAAGATCTTTAAAAATACCTTCAGGGGTTTTCATGGGCACTCCAAAATCTACCCATGTACATATATCCCAAGTTTAAAACTCTTGCTTCTAAGGCTCTCAAAGCATTTACTATAGCATAAGTTTAAATCTGAGAAAAGGTAAGGCAATAATAGTAGCTGCCATTTATTTAGCATCTACTATGTGCCAGGTCCTGTGCCAAGTGCTTTACATCTATCATTTCATTTAGTTTTCATCCTACAATGCAATGCTCATTACTTTAATGAGAAAAGTTAAGTTCAAAGGACTTCAGTGACTTGCCCATGGTCAAACAGTACAGGGAAACACTGATTGTAAGGCACCATGCTCCCTCTTAGGCAAATACTGAATCAATAGCAGGCCAGGCTTTCAACTTATTGACAAAATAAATAGAATAAATCCCAGAGACATATTCACCTGTATGATTTATGCAGCTCCATAACCTTTTCTTCAAGTTCCTTGGTCTGATTTGGGGCCAGTTTAAAATCACTAACATAATCCATGCCATGGAGTTCTGCATCATAGTCTCCCAGCTCAGACTGGATGGTATAAGAACCTAATAATGCTAAGGTTGCAAAGGAACAGGGCAGACGTCCTGCAACAATGTCCTGCCGAAGCTGAAGACATAAATAATATCTAAAGCCAAAAAAGAAAGATGTTGACATGTTAGCAACAATAACAATAAAAAGAAATAAAAAGGAAGAAAAGGAAAAAGAGAGAAATAATCTTAAAAAAAGAAGAAAAAAACTAAAACATTAATTGTTTGATTAGGTGATGGGCATTTGGCTGCTCATTGTATTATTTCTTTCTTCTCTGTGTTTGAAATTTTCCCATTAAAAACAAAAACAGGGGGAGCTGGGGATTTAGCTCAGTGGTTCTGCTGCCTGCCTCGCAAGCACCAGGGCCCAAGTTCGATCCCCGATACCAAATTTACAAAAAACAAAAAACAAATACTGTAACTATGTTGAACTCATCATTGGAAGGCAGTTTAGAAAGAAAAGAAGAAAGCTGGAAAAATCCAAAAGAGGAGAATGTTAAACTTCTTTAAAATGTAGGTAATTAGTAAAAATGTTTAGGGATGTGATTTTTTTATAGAGAGTAAGCCTAGATGAAGAAATATGAGTAAGTAACAACTCTAACAGACAAGTATTACCTGTGAAAAAGAGATAATTTTCTCAGGGAGATATATAGCATTTCAATTTTACAAAGGTACTAAGTCTGAGTGGACAATAAAGTAATCTTTAAAAACAGTATAAACTTTTCAAAGCATCAAATAATCGGATTTTTGGTTTTGTTGGAGACACAGTCTTGCCAAGTAGCCTGCCTCACCCTCCCAAGTACTGGGATTACATGAGTTCACTACCACACAGACCAATAATCAGATTTTTTTGAAAAGTTTATTTTATTTCCTTACTCAAGATTTATGAAAACCGAGGCTTTGAGGCTGTGTATTTGCCTGTAATCAGATAGTTGACAACAAAATCAGACTAGAAAACAGTTTCTTGACAACCAACAATTCAATTTAACAGACATTTGCCAACCACCTACTAGATAAAAGGCTGGTCCATGCAAGAGGTTATGGATTAAAATAGGCATTATAGCACACAGAATATCACCTTTCCTTTTTTTTTTTTTTTTTTTTTTTAGAAAACCCAATAAAAGTCATTTCCTTAAAGGATTCAGCAGGTTGTTTATAAAGAACATAGTAAGTCAAATAGGCTCAAAGAAGATTCAATTCATGAAGATCATATACCTATCCACACAGTTTAAAAGGAAGATACAGCTGAGTTGGTGGCACACACTTGAAATCTCATTACTCTGGGAGGCTGAGGCAGAAGCATTGCAAATGTGAGTTCAGCCTGGGCAACTTAGCAACTTAGTGAGACTTTGACTCAAAAAATAAAAAGGGTCAGAGAGGTAAATCAGTGTGAAGGCCCTGGTTTCAATCCCCGGTATTGTAAAAGAAGGAGGAGCAGGAGGAGGAGGAGGAAGAAGAGGAAAGGGAGGAGGAATAGAAAAAAATAATAGTAACCCTGAGATTTTTAGCTTTTTTGATCTCTATAAAAAGGAATGTACTGGAGGGGAGGAGGGGGTGAAGGGAGGGCAGGGACAAGGGGAAAAAATGAGTATCAAGACCTATTATGTAAAGGTACAGAATCCCAATGATGAATGTAACTGTATTGTATACCTAGATTGTACCAATAAACTCAATTTAAAAAAAAAAAAAGGAATGTACTGAGAGAGAAGTAAGGAAAAAAAAAATCAACGCAGGAGAGCCATTTTACCATTACATTGCCCTCTGGGAGGATGGTATGGTTTTGAGGAGCCAGGCCTGCTGCTTGGTATAATGTGAATGATAAGGCTAGTTCCCCTACCGGTTTCTTTCAGGCAGGTCAGACAGTTGAGACTTTCAGACTCACTTATTTGCAAGCCTGATTTCAAGTGACCAGAAACTTTCCATCTTAAGGATGATCATTTAATAGCTCATAATTTTTCTTCAATTCTGAATAGGGAAATTCCCAGAGCTTATGATGTTAATTACTATTATATATGTAACTAATGATTGGTTATTTACCTTGTTATGTCTTCTGTTAACTGTGCTGGATCAGGTGGATAAAACTTTACATTAAATGTGAAATTCCAAGGGATGCCTATAAAAATAAAAGATTTTATGGTTATGCCGAGGTTTCTGACTACAGAAGTACCTTGAAATATTCAAAATTTATTGTTTTCTGAAATATTTTGACATTGTCATACATGGTTACAAGTTTTTTTTTGTTGTTGTTGTTGTTTTAAAATAAGTTGCTAAAATACCACTTAGGAGAGCTACAAAGATCTCTCTCTGCATCTCTCCCTTTAACCTTACTTAATAGTTTAGTTAATAAGGGATTGATTAGAATGACACTGCCAAAATAACAAGAAGGAAACCCATAGGTCAACTTGTTAATAGCATTCTTTTTGAAAATGTGATCTATATACTGCTTTGGGTCCTTAAGTCATTAGATTTGAGGTCATTCAGGCGACTAATAGATTTTTTTGTTTTGTTTTGGCATTATTTGTGTAATCTGCCAATGCTACCTCAAATAAACAAAAACGCTCTTCTATTAATATGACTGAGATTGGGTTATTTTAGAAATAAGGAAGAAATAATTGGTAAGAATTTAACCCTGAGACTCATATAAAAGTGTTATTTTTTATACAATAAAATCAGAGATTATGAATAATGGTTAAATGGAGAATGCATTTCAATTTTTTTGAGTTGAGTGTTACCTTTCAGGGGTTTTCTAACATGACTGTTGGCTTCCTGAAGAGTAAGGCCTGATCTCAGCCAGAAATAAGAATGACTGTAAGAATTTTTGTATGAGCAAAATCCTAGAAACAGTCTAAATAAATATATTTAGCAAGAAAAGATAAGTTAAATTATAGATGTTACAAAACTATATAGCTATTTTAAAAAAGAAGTAGATCTATAAGGAATAATCTACAAAATACAGTATCAAGTGAGAGAAAGAAAAGAACAGTATAAACAGAAAGCTATTGCTTGGATTTAGCTCAGTGGTTCTGCTGCCTGCATCGCAAACCCAAGGACCCGAGTTTGATCCCCGGTACAAAAAAAAACAAAGCTATTCTGTGAGTTGGAGGTAGAAAATAATATGCATTAAAGTAGGATTAAATATATGTACAGATGATCTCTATAAGGATATATATATAATAAACTAGTCATAATCATGTAAAACTATGAAGGGGAACTGGAGAGGAAAATTGGAAAACTTAGAGAAAATCAATACCAGTGAGCCCTTTCACTATATATAATTGTATGCCATTTGAGGTTTGTACTGTGCACATTTGCTACTTATTTATATATACTTATAAAAAATTAATGGATCATCTCCTCTCACCAAAATTTAAATTTCTAAGGTCAAGAACTTTGCCTAGTGCCAGGGATTTTAGCTCAGTGGTTCTGCTGCCTGCTTCACAATTGAGAGGTCCCAGAGTTTGAACCCCAGTATCAAAAAAAAAAGAACTTTGCCTAAAGCAAAGGTTGGCATAGGATGAGCACCAAAGAAATAGTCAGTGAGTGAATGAAATAAGTAGCTGATCTCAATTATTGTAACCGTCATATAAGAATGCTTTTCTTAATCAAGACATCAGGTACAAGATCCCAACAATGAATGTAACTGTACTGTACCCCTAAAATGTACCCATAAACTCAATTAGAGCTGGAAAAAAAAAAAGAATGCTTTTCTTTATGAGAATGCTAAATTTTGGGTTTTTTTAAAAGATTTCACAAAGGAAGGATAACACATACTAGTACATTTAAATTACTTATCTACCGATTATCCCAGATATCCCAATTAACCCAAGTTACTAGAGCTAATGAAATGAAAACATTAAAAGAAAACAACTATAATCCCATTTGATTTTTTTTTACTTAACACAAAATAACTGTTTTAGAAATTACCATAACTAAGTGAAATCTTTCAAATATTAATGATTTTACTTTTGTTAAGACCTGTTATAAAACAGAGGAACTTGAACTTTTGGTTTCTTTCTTTTCCATGAAACAGTTACAAGTTTTGGATACTACTAAAGAAATTTTCCAGTTTCCTTATAAGCAAATTTAGCATTAAATACCAAAAAAAAAAGACTACCAAAGAAAGAAAGAAGGAAACACAGACAGAAAGAAGGAAAGAAAGCAAGCAAGCTCCTTATAGCCAGTGTGGTTGCATATGCCTGTAACCCTAACACTCTGGGAGGCTGAGGTAGGAGAATCATAAGTTCAAGCCCAGCCTGGGCAACTTAGTGATTTACTGAGACCTTGTCTCAAAATTAAAAAAAAAGGGGAGGGGGCAGGGTGGGGGATGTAGCTCTATCCAAAGGCCCTGGGTTCAATCCCCAGAATTAAAAAAAAAAAAAAAAAAAAAAAAAAGGTTGATTACTTAGAACTTTAAAAAGTTAGGTTAAACTTTAGTTAACTACTTCACAGATTATGATATGTATACATAATTAGTAATAGTTTATAGAAAGTAGTTAGTGAAGGGAAATGAAGACTGTTGGCAAAGCTGTAAACATTTTCAACATTCAAATTTCTGCCTTCTAACTCAATAACATTTCAATAACATTTCTGCCAAATATGCGTAACCTAAATCTGAGGAAACCTCAGACAAACTCAAACTAACCACATAAAATTGCTGGTCTTTATTCTTCAAAATGATAGTACCAATATTGTGAAACATTTTAAAGACTCAGGAACCGTTCATGATTAAAGAAAATGAAAGAGATATGACAACTAAATGCAAAATATTACCTGAGACTTTTTCTTTAATGGATATCATTGGGACAACTCACAAATAAGGGTAAAAGGTTAGAGAATCATTTCTATGTTGTTCCTGCTTTTGATAATTGTATTATGGTTACATAAGAAAATGCCTAGAACCTAGAATATACAAACTAAAGTATTTAGGAGCAGAAGGGCTGGGCATCATGACTACAACTTGATTTTTCTAAACTGAGGTGAAATTCACATAATATTAATTGTTTTAAAGTGTACAGCTCAGTGGCATGTAGTACATTCACAATGTCATGTAGTCACTACCTCTATTTAGTTTCAAAACATTTTTTATTGTTGCCAAAGGAGACCCTAATAGCAGTACTCCCTGTTCTCTTCTTGCCTCAAACCCTGGCAACCACTAATCTGCATTAACTTGACTTCTATCACTATATCTTTATTTTGGATGTTTAATTTAAATAGAATTATGTAATATTTAATACATGGCCTTTTGTATCTGCCTTCTTTCATTTGGTCTGGTGCTCTTAAAAAAAAAAATCCAGGGTTGGTCTCATTATATTGCCCAGGCTGGCCTTGAACTCTTAGATTTAAGAAACTCTCTTGCCTCAGGCTCCTGAATAGCTGGGACTGCAGGTGTGAAACCAAGTGAACCTTGATAGGACAGTTTAAATCTGATGCCAGGCCAAGGGAGTTTCTGATAGGATAACTGTCTCAAATGCCTTATTTGCATAAGGGAGAAGCCAATCTGGAAGTTCCACATACAAAAGACCCCTCTTCATTATTCTCTGGGCTGCTGTGAGCCTGTTCACTGGCTCACTTGGCTCTACAGAGCTACCTCTTTTTCACCTTCAATTAAGATACAACTGCTTTGTTCATGACACCAAGAATCTGGAAGAGAATTCCTCTCAGGTCCCACAAACTGGTAACAATTCCACTTCCACATATATATACTAAATCAATTTTTTTAAAACTGTGAATTATGAGCCATTGTAACAAGCAATTTAGTGGAAGAAAAAATTAGCACTTAAAAATATGAAATGGAATACAAAAGAAAAAATCAAGATATAAAGATTAAGATTTTTGTGAAATTTCTTTTTCAACAAGAACAAATTTCAAAAACTACGTTAAGTAATTCACATATGATTACCTATTATAGAATTTAATTTACAGAATGTTCAAAAGGGAAATATAACAATATATTTTTAGGTAATAAAAATGTTTTTAAAAATTCAATAGAATTATTAATGCAAAATTCTTGCAAGACAGTGGTGACCTCTGCAGGGAAAGAAGATACACAGAATATAGATATTTTTTTAAAAGATAATTTGTGTAAATTATGTTATCAGTAATTTACAGTGTGTTGAAAAGGTATAAGGATACCTTGCCTTTGCTCTGTAATATTCCAGAAAGGGATTGAGGATGGGCAGCCTGATCTACAAGAGAGGTCTCTCATCAAACCAAAAGAATAAACAAGCTGAAAATTAAGCTCAGAGGACAGAAAACAACTGATAAACAGAAGAAGTTATAAATGGCAAGGCTGGCTCTGAGAGAAAATTAAAACCAGACAAAGCAATACTATATATTATACAAGGGTTTGGTTGGACATATCAAAGAAAAATATAAAAACATGAATGGAAAGGAGATTCATAACAATTTTTATGGTTAGGGAGAGAAGACAGGACTGAAAGGAAAATGAGATAAACTTCCTTTACTGTGCTATTTTATATAAAAAATATTAACTCCTGTTAATTCTGGATAGTTAATACATGGGTAATTGTTACATTAGTCTGCATACTTTTCCACATTTTTCTGATATATGGAAAAGATCCTAGTGTTGAATATCTATTACAATCTTAAATTTCATATGCATTTTAGCCGCAGCAATTTATTGTAGATATTATTAAAGTGCACATATATACACAGATAAGTTTGTTGTAATAGGTATTTAGATTATCCCCAAATGCAATTCAGCATGACTTTTTACACATATTATATGTATAATTAGTTTAAAAGTTAATAATATATATGTACACACATGGAAAGTACTTCAAATTGTGTTAAATAAAAGAAGATTCACTGAATATTTAAATTAACACACCCATGAGTGTGGGTCTATACATTCAGAGCTTCTCTGAAAGGGAGACAAGAAATTAGTTACCATGGTTATCTCCAGGAAAGGAAATTGCATGACTAAGACAAAAGAAGGGAGCTTTACCTTATACTATTCTCACTTGTAACTTTTAATTTTATACCACATACTTACAGCATCAATTTTAAAAATTAGTTTCAAAACTGTATAGCATATTTGTATTCAGATTTTTCTCTGTACTTTTTTTTTTTTGGTACCAGGGATCAAACTCGGACCTTGTGCTTGCGAAGCAGGCAGAGGAACCACTGAGCTAAATCCTGCCCTGCATATTCAGAGTTTTAAAAAGCAAAATTTGTAATACCTAGAAAAAAACCTTGTAAGTTATACCAATTTAACAATATTCTCTCATCATGTAATAAACTAAAATTAAAATGGATCAAAGAACTACCAGCCATAATGGTACATGCTTGTACAGCACTCAGGAGGCTGAAATGATTGCTGCAGTTTCAAGGGCAGCCTGGGCCACATAGGAAGACCCTGTCTCAAAAGAAAGAAGGGACAAGGGAGGGGAGGGAAGGGAAGGGAGAAGGGAGGAAAAAAGAGAGAACAGAGAGAGACAGAGATAGAGATATACAGACAGACAAACAACCTTTAAGTTTCTCTTTGGCCTAACTGAATTGTCAGCATCACTACTCTGTACTTTATGGCCATTATCAAGTGACCTAAACACAGGCACTGTGATACTATGATAGTCTATTGGACAACCTGCTGGCTACTAAGCAACTAACAGGGTGGGCAGTATATACAGTGGGACAAGGGACTGATTCACACACCAGACAGAATGGAGGCAGGACTGCACAAGATTTCATTTGATACTCATGCAATTCCAAACTTATGAAATGTTTGTTTCTGGAATTTTCCATTTAATATTTTCAGACTACATTTGACTATGAGTAAATAAAACTAGATAAAGTCAAACCACAGAGAAGAAAGGACTACTGTATAGACAGGAAAACATGGAGAAATGTTTGAAGGCAGGGCTGGCAGTGTAGCTCAGTGGTAGAGTGTATGCTTAGCATGTATGAGGTCCTGAGAAGGAAAGAAAGGAGGGAGTGAGGGAGTGAGGGAGGGATAAAAAAGGGAAGAGCAAGAGAGGTGGCGGGGAGGAAGGGAGAGGAAGGCAGAGGAGAGGAGAGAGCCAGAGGCAGTGCTCTGGAACTATTATAAAAAGCGTGGGATCTGTCAGTGAACTCTTCCTAGTAGGTCACTACAGTTTTGATCACCGCCATTTTGAAAACTGACTCCCATATCCTTGTTCTTTTCTACCGTGTAATACTGTCATTATTCCTATCTTTCACAACTTTGCGTAGTTGTTAAAAAAAAAAAGTTTTTTTTAAAGTGGTCAAGATCTGACCTGTATCTCTATAGTTTCACCTCAGCTGTATTTTTCTATTATGGAATCTCCTCCTTTCAGGGGAAGGTTGTATCCCACTTTCAAAGTGATCTACAATAGTCAGGATTCTAAAGCGACTGACTCACAGCCAGAAGTGGTTGGAAATCCTCTGACCTACACTAAAAGAAAGAAAGACCTATAAAAAGGGCTATATCCACTTACCTCGTACCTGCTTTTTTATTTCTTTGGCAGAATCCAGCCATGTCTGTAAAAAGAAGAAAAGGCATTTACACAGTGCTCCAAAACACATAAACAACAGGATCACTGGCCATCTTGTAATAGTGCCTCCACTCAACCTGCATTTCCTTTGATAGTCTTTGCATTAATTTCACAGAGAAACAGGTAACTGGAATTTGAGCTTGAATCCAAGCTCCACTATATTCTGGCTGAATAACTTTAGGATAAATGTATAAATTATAATATTAGTAATAGGACCTGTCTCATAGAGTCAGTATAAAGATTTAATCTCTTAGTAAACATCCAATGTGAAGTAAGTATTTTCTATTTACATTATTGGTAAAGACTAGTACTGATATACAACCAGGATAAATTAACATCATCCAAATCTTATTTTCCCCTTCAAAAAACTGACCTTTGATCTCATTCAAAGTTTCTATGTTAGCACAGCATCCAGTACATGGTTCATGCCCAGTTAATGTTTACTAAAGAAATGTTTTGTTTTCCCTAACTACTCTTGCCCATTCTAATCTCTCCCTTAATGATTTCTCATTCCACATAAGAGTCTAGCCACCACTAGGGCAGGGATCCTTAACCCAGGGAGACCATGCAAAATAAGAGAACTTGAAAAGTGCCATTAATATCTTTTTGCATGTATAATACATATAGAAAAGTACACTGACTAGGAGTATAGCTAAGTGGTAGAGTGTGTCCTTAGCATGTACAAGGCCCTGGATTCAATCCCTAACATACACACAATGCACACACACAGAACATACAATAGAAGCACATGGATCAGTAAAGTAACAAAGTGATCATGTAAGGATTATAACACTTCAAATAACCCAAGAGTCCCACTTGTGCCTCTACCTAATTCTTTCCCTTCCCTCATCCAAAAGGCTTGAAATTGAATTTCATTCCATTTGAATTTTTGTTCAAGGTGTCCCTCTCTTTACCTCTTACATACAAGAGTAGATCATAGGGTGACCATCCCATATACCTTACAAATGGAATAGGTTTCAACACTGTAATTTTACATTTAATTATATACTACTGTACTTTGACTTATAGAAAGACAGTCACCACAACAGATAATAAGCACAAGAGTAATGATTAGTTTCCTTTTATTAGTTTCATTAACATGGCAGGTTAAAAAATATTTATTAATATCATTTAATTTAAAATTATTCTATAATGTAAAACTAAGTACATACTTCGGTAAGGCCTGTCAAAAAAGGAAACACTTAGGTATTTTCTCCTTAGTGTTTCATTTAGACAAAAGAATTTTTAAGTGTTATAAGTTTGAAGGCAAAAGAAATTTTTCAAAAATACCAACAACTGCTAAGTTTTGTAGAACATCTATGAACCTTTGACTTATTCCACGAAATCTAGAATGCTTAACAAAAATCCACCTTAGGAAGGATATGTCCGAGAGGAAAAGCACTATATTTTCCATTATTTGAGAGAATATCTCAAGGTAACCTGAAGCTTCCAAGTTTCTTCCAGGGACTCCATGTGCTGTTTTATTACTCTGGGGCTAAAATTCCCACCAATCTGACACTGATAAGGCAAACCTAGATTTGTGTTAATCATATGAGGACTCCAAAGTCTAGGCTACCTTATAGAACAAGTTACTATTACTTCTGTATCCACACCCTACCCATCAAAAATTTTAAAAAACCTTCTGCAAATAACAAAAAGTAATGTGTACAAGAATAGGTACTTTTTTGCTTGAAGTAAATTAGTCAGTTGTCAGCATTTTATTTATAAAACTATTTATAAAATATTTGAGGAACAATTCAATGTGTTAGGCACTGTGGGTACAAAAAGGATTTAAAAATACCACTCAGGGTGTGGGTGTTATCTCAGTGACAGAGTGCTTACCCAGTGGGCAGGAGGCCTTGGGTTCAATTCCCAGCACACCATACACACATACACACACACACACACACACAATAATAATAATAATAAACAACACTTGTTCTCAATGAGCTGTCATTTTAAAATCTGAGATGAACAGCAAACAATCAATTTGTTCTTGGTATGATCATTACTATGACAAGGCATACTGTATCCTGAGAACAGAGAAGATGTGCACCAACATCTTAAACGGCAATTAGGAAATATTTCTCAATAGTGTGTCTGGGGGATCGAAGTTGAATCTTGAAAGACAAACAACAGTTAGCTAGGCAACAAAGAAAAGGAAGTAAATAGAAAGGCACAAAAGTGTAAAAGAGAAGATGGTATGCTACATATAGGTCAGCATAGTTGGAGCTCAGAGGTAAGGAGAATAGGTTAAAACTGAAGAGAAAAGAAAAAAAACATGAAAGGTATAGTAAACAGAAGCCACAGTGCTCCATGCTAAGAAATTTTGGCTGCAAGTTCTAGGAAGGCAAGAGGCACTGAAGGATTTAAAACAAGGGAGTGAGGGCCAGGGATTTAGCACAGTGATGCTGTCGCCTGCCTCGAAAAGTGTAAGGCCCTAAGTTTGATCCCCGGTATGAAAAATAAATAAATAAAGGAGTGAAATGAATTACTGTGTGACTGTAGGCAGAGAGAACAAATAAGAGGCTGTTGATGAGATCATCCATTATGGCTAAGGATATAAGGCTTTGGAAGTCAGACATTTTTGAGTTCCAACCCTGCCTGAACCTCTCTAATAATTAATATCTATGTAACCTTCCACTGGCGATCTTTTTGAGTCTCAATTTTTTTCCCATGCAAAATTGGGACAAAACTACCTTTCTTCACAGAGTTATTTTAGATTAAATTATTTGATATATTCAAAATACAGTCAGTATTCAATAAATGATAGTGATATTGTTAATTAAAAGGGCCTGATAAATAAAGTCTATGGACAGAGAAGAAAAACATTTAAGAGCTAAAAAAGTCAGAATTTGTAACTGAATAAATGGAATATAGGGGCAGTGGGCTGGAAATGAGGGTTAACAAAGTATAATAAGTGAAAGATAATAATTTGCTGGCTTGGGAAACCAGGCAGACATATTATTCACTGGGACAAGAAATGTAGAAAACGGAACAATTTTTTTTTTTTTTAAAGGCAAGGTCTCCCTTTGTAGTTCAGACTGGCCTTGAACTCACTATGCAATACAGTCTGGCCTCAAACTCGAGACAATCCTCCTGCCCTAGCCTCCCAAGTGCTGGGATTACAGGTGTGCACCATCACGCCTGGCTGGGAACAAATTTTATGAAAAAAGAGAAAATAGGAAAAAAAAGAAATGTACATTATCAGTAGAATGAAAAAAATTATAGTATATTTACATGGATATACATTTAAGGTATTTTTGGAAATCCAAGCGGAATTATTTCAATTGATGGCTAGATGGCACTCGAAAAAGGTATTTTTATGAGAGACATCAATATAGGTGCTTTCACTATTATATAGGTGGTAAAACCAAAAACTATAGATTTTTTTAAAAAATCACCTAGAAGGCATATAGTAGTGAAAAACAAACAAACTAAAGATATTCCCTAGGGGAATACTTCCATTTAAGGGATGGAAAGAACTAAAAGTGACTAAAGTAGTAGGAGGAGGAAAACAGGAGACCCCAGTATTTCAGAATCCAAAGAAAGAGAAAGTTTCAAGGTTAGGGGATTTTAGATCATCAATGCTGCAAAAGGACAAGTAACATGAGGATGGAACACTGGCCAATTTATCCTAGCAAGACCAGCTGCAGGGCCAGAGATGTAGCTCAGTGGCACAGCACCTGCCTGGCAAGTGCGAGGTCCTGAGTTCAATCCCGGTACCAAAAAAAAAAAAGACCAGCTGCAGCACAGTGATTCGGGTAGGAATCAGAACTCAGTGAGTCACACCAGGTGGAGATGAGTATGTGCCATCATAGCTGGTGCTATGTGCAGAAAGAGTAAAATGGAAAGAAGATAAAGATTTATTTCTCATTGTATTAAAGTTTGTATTTTTCCACAACATGAGCTAATTCTGTATGTAGGAATCAAAAGGAAAAAAAAAAGGTAAACAATGAAGTAATGCAAATACCAAGGAAAAGAAGAATAAAAAGCTAAAGAAGAAAATCACTTAAAAGAGTTAGCAGAAAAACATTTGAAGGAAAATAAATAAAACAGCTGAAGGAGTAAACTGACAGAAGCAAGACAGAAGTCACTTTCTCATGTTTGCTTTCTCATCTGTAAAATGACAGGTATGAGCCCCCAAAGACTTTATAGCTCTCTATTTTGTTTTCAAAATGACAGAAAATTTAGCTGAAAAACAAAGATTAGTGCCTTACAGATTTAGTCATTTCATGAATATCATGAATACTTCTAGGAGACATTTTCTGAAATTTTGGCTTACTGACAAGATATAAGGAATGATAGTATTTTTAAAAATTCATGGGAAGCCACTTTTTTTGGGCTCTTACACTATCGGCCCAAACAGACCAGAACAAAACAAAATGGAGTCATTCATACTAAATACCACATAATTAAACTGAAACCTTGAGAAAGCAGGAGGATCCCCGAACAGACCAGTTTTTCCTGAAATCGGGAGAGTCCAATCTGAGTCAGTTTAACAAGGAAGTGCACCAGGTGTGGTGGCGCAGACTATTATCCCAGCACTCAAGAGGCTGAGGTAGGGGCATAGCCACGACTTTGAGGCCATCCTGGACTACATAGTGAGGCCCTGTCTCAAACAAGCAAACAAACAAACAAATAAATAAGGAAGTCCCCTCTACTTTAACCTCTGCCAATCAAACCAGACTTTTTTCCCCTTTTGTTTCATTTCCTTATCCCCACCTTACAAAACCCACTGTTTTGCCTTTGCCCAGTGGAAGCCTTCATTCTACATATTCTATCCTATATACTGAAGGATGCTCTCTACTCATGAATTGTGAATAAAGCCAATTTGATTTTTAAATTAACTAATTAAAGACAATTAAAAATCTAAATTTATATAATTTTGTCTTTTCCAAAAGCTAAAATGAAGCCATAAAATCCGGCTAGATATATTTGATTTCTTTATTCACTAAAAAGTACCTTATCCTCTGGTATACCCTAATTATGAAAAGATTATGTAAATTATTCAACCTGAAAGATGTTCCAGAATTCCAGAATGCACTTTAGATTATGGTCCATGGGTCTTTTTTTTTTTTTAACATCAAGGCCTTGGTCAATTGGTAATTTCACTTTAAAATAATAGTACTATCATTCTAACTACAATACTTAATTTTTAGTGAGTGTGCTTACTATATGTCAGGCCATTCTACATGTTTTTATTTAGATTATCTCATTATCATTCTCATTTACCAATCAGAACTACAAGTAACTTGCCTAACTCAAAACAAAATGGAGGCATTCATACTAAATACCACATAATTAAACTGAAATCTTTAGAAAGCAAAACTAGGAGTGGCAAAGCTGTTCTCTAACGTGTAACAATATGTCTTATTCCATCAATTTATTTATTGAATGCCTGCCACACTCAGGCAGGAGATGTCATAAACAAGGACATTCCTGGGAAAATCACAGTCCAGTAAAGAATACAGACATGGGCACAGAACAAAGGAGGAAAATCAACCCACACTAAGAACTGTGAGCTCAGAACCCTAAACAGGAGGAGGTAAACAATTCTACTCACTGTAATTCTATATCCAACCAAACTAACAATCAAATGTGACGACATAATGAAGAAGACATGTTTAGACATGTAATGTCTCACAAGACAGATAACATTTCTCAAGAGGAGCACTTTATCAAAACACAATGAAAAGCAAGGATGAAACAAGAAATATCACAAGAAAAAGGCAAAGCAAATCCCAGGATGATGGTGATGAGAAATACTAGGGACAGCTATGTATACAACCAAGAGAGCAACCCACCAAGACTGAAGAAAGATGACTCCAGAGATATCATTCAAGAACAACTTTCATCACTCCCATGGCTCTTGCTATTGTATTGGCCCTTTAACCTGACAATGCTATGGTAAATCTTTCCCAGGCTAATTTTTGTCCCTGTGCTAATGAAGTTCCTGCTTTCTCTTCCATGCTCTTTGTGATCATTAATCTTGTTTTGTTTTGTTTTGTTGGTTTTTTTTTTGAGACAGGGTCCCACTATGTAGTTGAGACTGACCTGGAACTCAATATGTAGCCCAGGCTGGTCTCGAACTCACGGTGATCCTCCTGCCTCAACCTCCCGAGTGCTGGGATTACAGGCGTGCGCCACCATGCCCGGCTCATTAATCTTGACATGTCACCTTCATTGCATTATGAAATACCTAGCAGATTAATAAAGCATGCTCCTGGGATGTGTCTGAGCAGATAATGGTTACACAGCTTGGACACTATACATGGTCCCTTGTCCATTCCTCTCTAACACTGTTCTCCTCCTCTGATTCCAGGCCACCATGAACAAAGCAGCAAAGCTGCTTAGGTCAGAAATAAGATGAACTTATATGCTATTTTTCATCCCTGTCCTGATTAATAGGTATGTCAAGTTTATATTAACACAGTATTTACATAAACCTGTTTGCACTGAGAAATTAACCCTGAAGGGTTTTGATAGGGAGTTAGACCTGCCCTACCATTATAACTAAAGTCTGCCTATTCATTGTAAACATTTATCCTGTCAATTTTGACAGACTGGGGCCAGCTTGATCTTTTAAATCTTAAGCCAAGTATGAAAATTTAAGGCTTATTCAATTTTTTACCATTTTATTAAAAATATTTGAAATGTGGGTTTTTTTGTTTTGGTTTGGTAATTTGCGCCATGGAATTTGAAAACTACCAAAATTTAAAGAATACTTTTATAGTCAATTCTTTTCTAGTATAATGTTAAACTGTAAGCAGCTTTGCTCTGCCATGCCCTATCACAGTGATGGTGAATCTTTTAGAGCTTTCAGTGGTACAAATAGCTCACTGAAGCACACATGCTATACATTCACTATCCCTGCCCTATCACCACAATAGTTCTGCCTTGGAGCCTGTCAACCATGTACTGAATCTCCTGAAACCATGAGCTACTTTCTTTAAATGGGTGTCAGGTATGCGTCCAGCAATGGTAAAGCTAACGACTCTCATTTTAATCCAAAAAAATACACTGCTTTGACCTAGTGTTGAGAACTGAAACTTGGCTCTGATGAATTTGGTAGCAGAAAACAGGAAGCCCAAATTTTTTAACCATGTTCCTGCTGAGTATCCTATGAACCTGGTCTACACTGCAAACTGCCAATGCATTGACTATAATAAGCCTTATGTTTCCCCGATTGCTTGCTCACTATTTTTCCCAGAAGGAGTTCTTAGAATATGATACAGGAACATCAGCTTTCGCTTTCCAGAAATACTTTAAAAGGGACACAACCTTTTCGTATACAGGCAGCTTTGTACTTTGCTTTTCAGATTTAATATCAGGCAGTTTACACATTTTTATACTTTATACATAAGTAGATAAACATAAGCAACAACATTTGCTTATTAAAAATTAATTGAGAACAGAAACTGCTATCAAGGAAATGACACTTGCTGACAGGACAGAGTATCATGGGTAACACCAATTATGGTAAAAAGTTTTTACCCCAACATGGGTCCTAGACTTTCAATTGCAAGTGGAAAGAATTTTTTCTGCTGAAAGCCTTTAGAAGAAGCAGCTTCTAGAAATTTAAGCACACTTGGTTCACAAAAAAATGATTTCCAGTGATATTAAGTAAGTAGGTACTCTGTGACTTTATTTACATGCCAAATTAGTGGGTTCTCAATTACTCTCAAATCAACCTTTTTTCCCACAATATAACAATATTCAATTTCTGAGAATCAAAATATTCTCAGTAAGCTGGTAAAAAACAAGAATAGACTTTTACATGCACTATGTCTTGGAGAGGAAGACAAAATACACTCAACAATAACAAGAAAAATACAATTTTATTTTTGTCAACTGTTTATATTGCACACAGTCTTCTTACCTTAGAGGTTGTGTTGTCCCAAATGGCTAGACCAAAGTAGTCTTCTTCCAAAAGATTGAGGTGCTCACACACTCGTTTAAGCAAATCTTGTCCCTTAGCATGTTTCTGCAAAGATATACATATTTTAGTTGAAGTTTCTTCTTACTCTTGTATCTATCACCAAATAAAAGCCTCACTTTCCAATTTCTTTTATCTTTGGTTACTAACAAATTTTCACATGACTCAAAATTCAAAGTACAATATGATTTATAAAATCCCTATCCCTGGGCCCGGGATTCAGCTCAGTGATGCCACCGCCTGCCTTGCAAGTGTAAAGTCCCTAGTTCAATCCCGGGTATTAAAAAAAAAAAAAAAAATCACTCTTCCTTGTCAGTTTACAAATGCAACACACTTACTGCACCTTAGAAAGTAACCACACAAAGCAAAATTCTACCTTCCATCTATTCAGTATACTCCGCTTCCTTCCAAAGCACCACATTTTTTATTTTTGGTGCAGTATTTCCTAAAGCATGCCATGGGCCACTGTCAGTCACCATCGCATATAGAACTACCACTGGATCATCTGTCAACACCGACAGTTGATAGTGGCTGTGGAAGTCATTAGATTGTCATTTTCAGTACAAGTGTCCCAAGAGAATAAGCTATACCTCAAATCTCTACAGTCTCTTTTATAAAAAATAGAAAGTAAAATTCTAGATAGAATTCAGACACTACCCACTGGTCAGTCTTTCAGTAGTGTTGCAAATACCTAGAAAGGCAAACCTCTCCAAAATTTGAGTACTTCCACTCCTTTTTATGGAAAGGAAATACCTTAACTTAGAGGCTGTGATTTAGATCAGAGGTCCCATCTTCTTCATGTACTAACCAACCTAAGTAGTTTATATTAACATTAGCTTTCATCTGTGTAAAATAATAAGAATATTTACACCTGTTCTACCTATCTGTATGAATTTTTGGCAAGAAAATTAAACACTCTAATTCATTTTGAGAAATTTGTGAAAAATACATCAAAACAAGTTTTTAAAAATTTTAAATCAGCTGGGCGAGGTGGCACACGCCTGTAATCCCAGCACTTGGGAGGCTGAGGCAGGAGGATTGCTGTGAGTTTGAGACCAGCCTGAGCTACATAGTGAGTTCCAGGTCAGTCTCAACTACATAGTGAGACCCTGTCTCAAAAAAAATTTTTTTAAATCACTGCTACATGCCTGCCAGCACAAGACCCAAGTTCAATCTCCGGTACAAAAAAAAAAAACAAAAAACTTAAATCACAGTGCTGAGAATCAAATCCAGCCCTGTACATACTAAGCAAGTACTTTACCACTGAGCTGTATCCCAACTCTAGAAATCTTTTTAGCCTATACAAATGGCAATATTTCTCTTTGAGATGAGTTAGTTTTAATGATTATTAGTTCATAAATGTTCATTCATTTCAGTCTTAACCCATTTATATAATATCTTTTCATGCTTTTTTTCCTGTCCTCCCATTTTCCTTCTAAATTACAGAAGATGAGGGCCGGGGATTTGGCTCAGTGGTTCCACTGCCTGCCTGGCAAGTGAAAGGGCCTGAGTTCAATCCCCAGTACCAAAAACAAACAAACAAATTACAGAAGATGATTTGTATAGATCTCTAGCCCCTTATTAATAACTTCAAACTCTAGAATTTCTGAAAAACAAGTTTTGCTTTTTTGTTCGTTTTTATTTATCACTAAAGCTCATTTGAAGGAAAATTCTGACCTGAGCTATAAAGAGGCTACTGAACCTTCATATATTTTTCCATAAAAATATGTTTGATTCTACAAGGCCTGCTCTAGATCCTGATGGAGGTATTATGAAATATGTAGAATATATATTTGTTGTCTTTCAAAAATCTAATCTATCTTGAATTGTGAAACACCTCTGCATCCATGGGCTGCAGATACAAAGGCTTATATCCACATCTTGGACTGAATGAGAATGAATGTAGAATAGCTTTCTACACTCCTACAATAGCTAGTGGCAAGACACAGAAAAAAGTTCCTAGATCTCTTACAGTTTCCAAGTATAGCAGGTATTTTCAATGTGCAATAGTACATTTTTCTTGATTTTCTTTTTAAAACTTTAAGAGAGAATGTAGTAACTACTAGTAAATATAGCATAATATTTTAGACTATTTGCGTTTGGATATAGTTGCATTTAGACAAAATTAAACTCAGAAATAATCTGTTGCTCACCCAAGATACAAAGATATGTGAACTTCATGTTTTATCAACAAAAGCTATTAGTAATCACAATAATTGTTCATATACTAAGCATATCATAATGGCAATCAGTGCTCTAGTTTTTGTTGTTTTTTTTTTAATAGCTAAGAGATTTGTCTTGTTTTGTTTTTGCAGCACTGGGGATTGAACCCAGGGCCTTTGCCTGAGCCGTATCCCCAGTACTTTTCTTACTATTGTTTATTTTGAGACAGGAAGTCTCATGAATTCATTAAGTGAAATTTGCTGGGCTTGAATTTGCAATCCTTCTTAGTTTCCCAGAGTTCTAAGATTCCAGGCATGTACCACCATACCTAGCTTAGATGTTTTATTTTAACTTGTCCTGAAGGAACAAAAACAGAAACTGCGCAACTCTGGCATTTTTACTTAATTCTGATTCAATTACTTATTCTTTCATAAAATTTTAAAGAATTCTTAAAAATGGCATTATTGGATTTACATTTTCAATTCTATCTCCTGGAGCTAAATACAAACATTAGATAAACTGAAGAACAAGTTTTAGATCTGGAGAAGCAGGAATATTATAGATAGTTGTTTTCTAACAAACATAACAATAGGGATAGCTGGACATAATATCAGAAATTGACACTACCTGAAAAATCTAGTCATAGAAAGGCACTCTATAAAATAACAAATTTATCCTTTTAAATATAAAATTATTTCTTAATGTAAAAGTAATACACACTTAGGTCACAAGATTTGAATGACTAAGAAAAAACTGGAGAAGAAAATAAGATCCACTCATAATTTTCCCCATATTCACCTCTCCAGAAAATCATTACACACACACACACACACACACACACATATGTTTGTATGTGTGTGTGTGTGCGTGTGTGTGTGTGTGTGTAAAAAAAGGGATCAAGATCAACTTGGGTCCTTGTGCTTGTGAAGCAGGCGGCAGGCAGCAACACTTAGCTAAATCCCCAGCCCCATTATTAATATTTTAATCCACAAAAATAGTCATTAGAGTAGGTCTCATCTTGAGCAAAAGCATTATTTATCCAACTCTACATGAAACAATTTGTTAAAGAGTCTAACTACTGAAAATTAGAATGAACTCACCTCCACAACACATTCGTAAACTGTGTCATCCAGCAATGAGACCTTGCAGTGCATGTTTCTGTGTCTTCTGACAGATTTCTGGGAAGCTTTTAAATCTCCTTCTGCTTTTGACTCAGGAGATTCTTTTACTTCTGTTTTGGAGCACTCTTCAAGTCCCTCTTCTTCCTTAGTTTCAAAATCTGGATCTTCTCTGTGTTCTTCCTGAGCTGGCTGCATATGCATGACATCACCAAGGCAGTAACAAAGATATTTCACAAAACACGCTGTGTACACTTTAATCTATAATAATCCTACCAATGAAAACACTAACTGAAAGAGAAAATCTACTAAAATAAGTATAGGTAAAGTCAGACGTGGTGGCACATGCCTGTAATCCCAGCACTCAGGAGGCTGAGGCAGGAGGATCGCTGTGAGTTTGAGACCAGCCTGGGCTACATAGTGAGTTCCAGGTCAGTCTCAACTATGTAGTGAGACCCTGTCTCAAAAAACAAAAAGGAACAAAACAAAAAAAATGAGTATAGGTAAAATTAACTTTAAATACTTATTTTTATAAAAAAGATGTTAAGATTCCCCAAAGTTCTAGACTTTACTATTCAACTCTTCTCAGGGAGAATCCTATCAAATCCAGTGAAGGTTTCAGGTAAACCACTATTGTTTTCAGCATTATATATTTTTCCTATGATACTACATGATATTATTAAAGTTTATTAAAACTTCATCATCTCTGTCCCATGCTCCTCAATTTTAGTAAGGAAACCTTATGAATTGTGAGCTAAGATGTGATTTTTCATACATTACAAATTTTATAAATGACTAAGAGAGATGCATGGGACCTATTTTAAGTATTAGGCAAATACATGTAGTAGGCTTAACACTGTAACTACTAGTCAATTCCTTTCTACCAGGAATCAATCATACTAACTACAAACAAGATTCAAACGAGATCAGGAACGTTCAGGGTGGTATGGCTATAGCTACAAACAAGATTCAAAGAAGGAAGAAACAAGTGAAATCTAGGTCTCCTAGGATAATAATTAAGTCATTCTAAAGTAATATAGGAGAATAAGACAACCCTTTGGAATACATTTTCTTACTTCCAACACAATAAAACATCTGAAAGATTTTTTCATTAATTCCCACTAATTCTTTTCATTCAAAATAATACATGGTTGATATGTGTCTCCCTCTACAGAGACAGGGTCTTACTTTGTAGTTCAGGCTGGCCCTGAACTCACTACATAGCCCAGGCTGTTCTCAAACTCATGGAGATTCTCCTGCCTCAGCCTCCTGAGTGCTGGGATTACAGGCATGCATCACCACACATTAAATTAACAATGCAGATAATGTTCACATGCTTCAGAACATTATTTTGAAAGTAACTCTGAATTTTTAGGTAGTAAGGCTGAAAACAAGATTCCCAGAAAACAGTTTGAGTTATGACACCAATATTTCCCATATTTTTTATAATGAACAATTTATATTTAGTTTAATTGCTTTGTGAAAAAATTAAAGCCCTATGTTAATAAATATTACACAGATGATAGAAGACCTAAAGTTCTTCATCTACATCTTATACTCCATGGTAATATAATCTAGTTAGAGAAAATAACCAAAATAAGGTAGGTCTGGCTCAAATCTATTTCGTACACTTGGATGGTCTGAATCCATCACATAGCTTTTACAGAGATTTCCATAAAAGGAGCATTTTAGCTGGTAACTATCTGATTCCTACTAATTCTACCAGAATGAATCCTAAACCATCTCACTTCTTTTTTGCCCTCTCATTAAAAATTTCCATTATAATAGCAAGGTGATATATTGGCTGATTAAACTCACTTGATATTTTTCTTTCATTTTCTTTTACTTGATTTATAGAGTACATCATTTTTTGTTTTGTTTTGTTTTGCTTTTGCTTTTGGTACCGGGGATTGAACTCGGGTCCTTGAACTTTTTGTTTTTGTTTTGTGTTTTGGTACCAGGGATCAAACTCAGGACTTTGAGCCTTCAAGACAGGCATGGTGCCACTGAGCTAAATCTCCGGACCTAGAGTATATCCTTTTAAAAATCAAGTTTCCTGCCAGGTGTAGTGGCGCATGCCTGTAATCCCATCACTTGGGAGGCTGAGGCAGAAGGATCGCTGTGAGTTCGAGACCAGCCTGAGCTACATAGTGAGTTCCAGGTCAGTCTCAACTACATAGTGAGACCCTGTCTCAACGCCCCCTACCAAAAATCAAGTTTCCACTGATCACATTCATTTCCTTAGAGCAGAAACTCCAAAGTTTCAGGTTATTTATTTTTAGTGTCCAAGTCAATTAGCTGGTAAGAAATAAAACCAAATGTTTTTCAATAAAAAACAAAGCATATAATCTGCCTTCATTATGCCCGCTTTCCACATATTCACACATTCTTACCTGTGTTTCTGCACTGCTTAATGAATGAAGGTCCAAGGATGGGTCTGTTTTGAGCTCAGGTTCAGGAGCTGCAATTGGGGCCTTTAAAATGAACTCTTCATCGAGGCTGGTTCCAAATTCTACCTCTTTCTGCCCTCTTTCACCTTTTTCTTTATCTGACTCTACCTCTTTGCCTTCTTCCTCAGAGACCTGAGATTTGGGCCTTCTGAGAAAGGAGGAGAGCAGTCGAGACAGGCCTCTGCTTTCTGATGTCCGCTCCTTGTTTTTGGTCAAGTCTTCATGTGTAGGAGTGGCGCCATTGGATGCTTTCAGCTTCTGCTCAAACTGATTCTCTCCCTCAGCTGCTGCTTGGGAACCTTCTTCTGGCTGAGTTTCTTGCTGGCCTGAGTTTGTAGTTCCTTCACTTTCCTCCTTCTGTTGTTGATGCTGACAATTTTCAGCCTCAACCACTAAACTCTTCTCTGTTGTCATGATTTTGCTAGTAAAAAGATAAAAAGGGGAGCTCTTATAAGTAAAAGACCCTATTGTAGGCAAAAACCTGAAACTCCAAAAAAAAAAAAAAATTTAAGTACCTAAATCTCTAAAAAACAGAATTCTAATCCATTAGACATGAGATTTTCCATCAAAGAACAAAACTATTTTATCTAAACATCTTGAATAATTATTAATGCCTGGAGTCACTAAAGATTCACACAGAGATTAGCTTAAAGTAAATACCCACTGAGGCCATCTGTGAAATACACCATATATTAAATTTGATGCTCAAAACTATACAGAGCAAATTTAGTTTTATCCTTCCCATAAAAAGGATTTTATTTGTACATTTTTTTATTTGTACATTTTTTGAGGGTATCAATCTGAAGATATAAGATTTTATAGGAATTATTTTCTATAAAATTCTTCACATCCCAAGAGACAATTAAATTTAAAAGTTTCCCAAGTCTTTATTGTTTACACAGTTAATCACAAAACAATCTTTTAAATTTCTATATTATAATATCAAATCCTGCCCCTTCAGAGGTATCTCATTTTTAAGTTCTTTGCAACTATTTTTTCTGACGAACATGATTTTGAAAGCTCAGCATTTTTGAGAGTAGGAAGTGAAACTATTACAATAGGAAAAACAGAGAAATGATAAAAAAAATTAGAAAGTAAATTCTGGTTTTTGTGAATCAGCATGTAGGGGAGGCGAAGTCAAACTGCAGACTTCATGTATTTCAAACTTGGTGGTTTCTGATCTTTTGATCTCAAAACCCCAGTGCTACTTATTAGTCGAGCCTTACAATAAAAACCAGAGCATGTCACATTCAGTTTACTAAAGAATAACCAACACAGAAAGAGACTTATAAACCCCCAGGCAATGAAGTTGACCATCAATAATTCTACACTTTGGTTCACTGTCATACCTACAAGTGTTCCCTGTCTACCACTTAACATGCAGCATTTACACTGTCACTGCAACTTCTCGATACCATTTGAACTAAGCAACTTTCTTTGGGTACTGACGATCTAAATTAATGAGCTACTCGTAGTTCATTTTCTGCTCAGCCCCTTCACATTTGCTGTTCTTTATATGATGTTCTTCTCCTGGATAGGAGGGGGCTTCCCCTTAACATCATTACTCTCTCAGCTCAGATGTTGCCTCCCTTAGAGAGGCCTTCCCCACACTCTAGCTTAAGTAGTAGTCTTCATCCCCTCAGATCATAGCACTACTGCATTTACTGTCTGCAATTATCATATTAATTTATTTGTTTACTGGTTTGTGGCCTCTTTTTCCTGTCCCTCCCACCAGCTAAGAGGTTAGTTCCATGAGATCAGGTATTTTGATTGTCTTATCTTCTTTTTTAATCACCATATATCCAACATCTAGATAATACCTGCATAAAATAGGCATTAATAAAATTGTTTTGAAAGGATTAACTTCAATTGAATATATCTGGCAAATAAAAACTGCAAAAGTAGAGCCAGGCATGGTGGCACACATCTATAATCTCAGCACTCAAGAGGCTGAGTCAAGAGGATCATTGAGTTTGAGGCCAGCCTGTGCTGCATAGTAAATTCAAGGCTAGCCTGAACTACATAGTGAGACCCTGTCTCAAACACACACACACACACACTATATTCACTAAAGGCAGTCTCTAAATTTATCCAAGTAAATTTACTTCAAATGCATGACATTCATTCAATACTTAACAAGCACCTAGGACAGGTCTTATGCTGAGTGCTAGGTAATATACCAGTAAACAAAACAACACCTGTGTCATCACGGAGTTTACATTCTTTTTTCTTTCTTTCTTTTGGTACCAGGGATCGAACTCGGGACCTTGCATATGCAAGGCAGACGGCAGAACCACTGAGCTAAATCGCTGGCCCTAGGAGTTTGCATTCTTGATTCCATCTCAACCAGTATAATGAAAGAAATACCTTCTTTAAAATATGAACTAAACCTGGAGTATGTGTGTATATAAGGAGCAAAGCAGTAAAGAGGAAAGGAAGCTAAAGGGTATTGGACACAGTCTCTGTGCCAGGCCCATGTAGAGGTGCTATCCACATTATGTCAGTTAAACCTTTCAACAACCTTTCAAGACAAAAGGAATCGGTTAATCTCTTTTTTTTTTTTTTTTTTTTTTTTTTTGAGACAGGGTCTCACTATGTATCATCTAATCTCAGAAGCTAAGCAGGATTAAACTTCACACAGAAAGAAAACTCAGACAACAAATCTCCAATTATTCTAAGAGTAATGACCTTATTTGAAAGCACCACTTTGCTTCATATTTCCTTTGCAAAAATAAGCAAGAAATGCTGAGGGTGCAGCATTATTTCCGTAAATTTTAGATATGCTTCATCATTCCCCCAAGAAGGAACAGAAACCATTTCTATATTAAAATTTCTGTATACAACAAACTTTACACCAAGTTATCTCAAAAATACATGAAAAAATTGCTCTTTGTGGGTTTTAACAGGTACAAAAATAACTTAAAGTCCACTTCTAACAGGCTTTTATTTGTATCTTTTGATAGAGTATTCTTGCTTTATAATTTTGTTTTATGGCTTTAAATTTTTAAAAAAATCTTCTAAGAATATTTCTATAACTGCTTTCACATAAAAAGGTTCTTGTAAGAAATTAGCTGAATGAATGGAAGTATTCTTTGGTTGTTACTATATACACATAAGCCCAGATGGTAACAATCCATGTGCTACATGCATGTTTGCTGAATTTTAATGTGTACCAAATCACCTAGCTATCTTAAAATACAGAATCTGAGAGTCTGCCTTTCCGATGATGCTGGCCACTGACAACACTGAGTAGCAAGGCACAGAAAATCACAATTACAATCACTTTGGGAATATACCTCAAAGTGCATAAGGAAAAAAAATTGACAAAAAGCTGGGTTTAGAAAGTGGAATATGAACCGTGGAAAATATTGACACACCAAATGCTCAACAAATGCTTGTTGAATGAATGAAACAAAGAATGTAACAAGTTATTAAATGTGGAAGCTGAACCATTAACATTTTTTTGAAATTTTTTTTAATCAGACCTTACAATTTTTAACCATAGAACTATAGCAATTTCAAGTTTCCCATGCAGCAGTGATAACTTGCTCAGATTTACTGTGTTAGGTATCTCCGCTGATATGATCTCTTTGGCACATTTAGTTGGGCATATGTTAAAAACAAAACAAAACAAGCAGACCGTAAGTAAAAGAACAGATGAGAGTACAATATAAGAAACAGACACAAGCAGAAGGCCAAAAGAATTCTATTTGAAAGTACCAAAACAACTTCAGGCAATATCATATATTCAATGTTAGAAAACAATCAGAAATTCAAACAATTCAGTAATTAGTCAGTACAATTCAGTATACACAAGAAAAAATAAATAAATGTGGAAGGAGAGTTTGCATGTATGCCCTTCCCATCCATGCACACATGGGTAGCAATGCTATCAGTAAGAGTGAGAAGGCAGGGAAGGGAAAAAAGAAGGGACTATGGGAATCAGAGAGATGGAGGGGGAGAGAGAAACTTGAAACCGATAAACCATATAATTAAAACAGATAAAATAAATAATCTTCAGTGCTCTAAGGTTGAGCTAAACAAATTTTAAAATAGCAAAAATAAAAAGTTATGGACTATTTATAAAAAACTCCCATCAGTTGGAAACTGGATAAAGAAGATGCAGTTTCTCTATAAAATGGAATATTACTCAGCCATAAAGAATGAGAAATTATATTCATTCATAGGAAAATGGATATATATTAAGGATATACTCCTAAGTGAAATAAATAAGTCACATATGTGTAAATACCAAAGAGTTTCTCTGGTGTGAATAAACTATAATAGTACATAAGATCTTAATGATATAATTGACAATGTGAAATAGGAAGAAAAGGGCTAAAGGTGTAGGGAAAGTGGGAAGGGTAGGGGAAAGCTAATAAGGGAAAAATAATAAAGAAAATAGGGAATTATAATAAAGAAAAAAATATAAGAAAATGAAAAAATGGAAATGAAGTGTTTGTAAAGGGGGAGGGAGGAGAGGATAAAGGGAGGGCAGGACAAGGGGAAAAAATGAGAACCAAGACCTGTCATGTAAAGGTACAAGATCCCAATGATGAATGTAACTGTACTGTATACCTGAAATGTACCAATAAATTCAATGAGGGGAAAAAAAAACTCAAATAAGCTTGTTTTTACAAATCAGTTACACATACAATTGAGTTCTTCACATACAAATACTAGTATAGGTAACCAGAGAAATACACAAATAAGTCAAGCAGTAAAAATAGGACAAATGCTCTACAACAGACTCTCTCTGTATAAATGATACTTTCATTCTGGATACAAAATCCAAAACAAAATACAAATTTAACCTAATGTCAAAAGAGGTCTTTTGATTAAAAAAAAATTCAACAGAGCACTGAAGGCTAAGTGATGAATTTCCATTCCATCTCAATCCTAATCTTCCAAATCCTAAGAATTATATCCCATGTGGTATCAAAGATACATTTGTTTTAATATACATCTGTCAACTTTATGCAAATCAGATTTTTTAAAATCCCATATTGAGCAGATTGGTAAAGACCAAATGAGATCTCTCATCTCTTTTTTTAAAATCTCTCTTTAACATCAGTACAATCAATGTTACATTAATGCTTCCTTGGTGGAAAACTCTGTAAAAACACTAGAATTTAGCAGCATTAAGAAAATTGCCCTTATTAACAACATTTTAAAATGATTAATTATTGGTGATATTCTTCAAATTAGCTCAGAGAGTGTCTATCAATAAATACTGGGTACTAACCTGGTATAAAGTTTTGGCTTAGCACTCTGAGAGGAACCATAAAAGAATAATATACAATTCTTAAGGAGAAAAGAAATATACACAAATAAAACACAAAGCAGTATCTGATGCTTAAGCCCTTAGGAGTGAAATCAACTAACAATATACAGTAGAACTATAAAGAACTTTCAATTAGA